ACAATAGGATCTATTTTTTTAAAAATTAGTTTCTTAAGTATTGCTGTGTGATAAATATTCTGCAGTGGACGTTAAGGTAGTTTGTTCAAAGGTTAGTTATCTTACCCTGTTGTTGGTGAAATGGTCTTTACATAGTTGAATGGGGTGTTATGGGAGGTACCCATAGCACAGGAGCAGCAGTGCTGGTTTTAGTGTATTTGGGGTTGCCCTTGGTTATGTGGAGTAATTTTTGTCTTCTCATTTGAGAAGCTTCTGCTTTTGTTGCACTTAGTAGTGGATTCTGCACAGATTATCATAGCTGTTATAACTGATAGAGCAGGCTCTGTGGCTGCCAGCTCTCCTAGCCAGTCCATTGCACTGATTTTCTGTTTTGTTCTTCCTTTGGGGACAGTAATGGAATTTGAGAAAAGATTTGAACCTTCTAGCTTTCTCTTTGGGCTTTGTGAGAGATTTAGTATAAGACTTTTTAACACTCATCCTAATCACCTAAAGGAACACAGCTTAATCCAAGACTGGGGTATGGTGAGCAAGTTCAATTCAGAGATGTTTTGTAAAGCGTGTAAATTGGTGATAATGTAATTTCACAGAGAATTCTCTGGCCAATTTAGAAGCTGAACTGAGAAGCAACAGACAGACCGATCTTCTTTATAAAGACAACCCCAAAACCAAGCTGATCCAACACAAGACTATCACAATCAGGGGACATGAATGCAAGAGTGGGCAGAAGGCATGTTCCCTGGAGCTCAAAGGCTGAGCTCCCTTCAGCGTTCCAAGGGAATTAAAAGGCAAGCTCAGAAGAGTCATGGTGTAGTCCTGTGTTAGACAGTATTCTTGAAAGCTTTCAGCAGCTCTTGTGATTTACATTTTTTGTACTTTTTATGTTATTCTAAACCAGCTTGTGAAATTACTTTCTCATGACAATGTCTGACTCCGATTTCTGATTCATGAGCAAATTATGAACAGCAACGAATCTCTTGCACATCCTCTTCCTTTTTCAGTGTAAGGTATCACTACATACAAACAGCACAAATAGCAATATTAAAGCATACCAAATAGAAAAAGGAAAGTATCATAAACACTTTGTTTTTACTGACATGAAAAGCACAAAATGATGTATGCTACATGAGGATAGTTCCCCACATGCTCATGCCCAGTTTCTTTGTGTGTTACTTAGAAGACATCAATATTGAACTTCTCATTAATAAATAAAACCTCATTATTTGAGACTTGGCACTTGCAGAAAGCATTTGTAATAATAATGTGGAAAAATCCATTAGAACTTTTTTAATAAGCATGGTGATATGGAGCTAGATCATACTACACCAGATCAAATTTCATAAGACAAAAGATAGTATGCAATAATAATTCTCTTTCCCTGATCCCAGTTTGGGACATGCAGACATACAAGAAAGAAATGGTGTCTTTCCTCCCTCTTCAGCACACACAATTCCATAAAATAGGAGCACCTTGTTGAATACACTTTTCATGGTTTAACCCTACAATTAACATTAAAAAATGCTAGGTTATCACTGCTGCTTATAAACTGCTGATTAAATTTCACAACCCCCCAAGTACAGTTTTGTAGACCAGGACAAGTTCAGACATACGCTGCCACAATCAAGCATGAAAGGGTTAGGCTTTGGGGGACTTTGCTTGTTTCTTTGTTTTTACGTGAACTAATCAAATTTGGGGATTTTAGGAAAAGCAACGAAGGTGAAGTCAGATATTGCAGCTTCTTGGTCACAGGACAGATCAGAATAATCCAAAAAGATCATGCTGCTTTCCTATTCAAATTATGAAGTTTGTTTTCATTGAAATTTCCGTGGATATTCACAAAATCAATATCGTATTTTATAAGCCTCATATTTTAAATTGAGGATGGTGCCTCTGTTGTCCATCCCAGACAGTCATTTGCAACATCAATTTTAAAAAGCAGGGTACAAGCAATGGGTTTTTTTCAAGAGCCTTTACAAAAAGATAAGATAGCTCTGTTGCTAGTGACTGTAGGCTAGACAGTTAATTTTTGATGGAGACTCTGAGGACTCTTAATTTTAACCAACTCTTTATAAGACTGGTGATATCCTCTTCATTTTCACACAGTGGTGAGGGCTCTTCTGATGTTCAAAATACTCCGAACTCACCCAAAACTTAAAGGAAGTCAAGGACAATCTCTAGGGGGTTGCAATGCACAAACACAGGGCTTAGTGCTCTGCAAGATCAGAGTACTTCTGCTCCATGCTATTAATAGATTTAGATAGGATTTTAGTTGCAAACATAATGAATGATTGCCATTTTTTCTGATTCAGTGTCCTAAGGATACAAAACTCACTGTTAAGAGATCTAACTAGATTCTCGAGTATTGACCATCTCTATTTGAAGCTCTGGCATTTCTCATAGCTAGCAGGGTGCTGCAAATACTGCAAGAGTAAAAAATTTCACCATAGTCAAGAGCTGAGTATTTCAATGTGTGGAAATTGGCCCTGTGCAGCAAAACCAGGACATTTCTTAAAGCATTTAGCTATCAAGTCTCACTGAGTTTTGCAAGGCTCAAGCAGCCACTGATGTTTTCTCCTGGATCAACATCTTAGCTTTAGCAAACTGTCAAACAAAATCAAAAAGAAATTTTTGCTGTATGGAATCACCATATATTGTTCCTCTTCTGCTTACAGTACTCCTTAAAAAAATAAACAATGATGTGCCCGCTTCTTTCATTTGCTTGTTTTGTATCATTTCAGCTTATGGCTGTGGTTCGTTTTAATTCTTTCCCACCTACATTTTTATCATGGCTGTATGAGTGACTTCCACGTTAGGCTAGAAAAGATGTACATCTGTCTTTTCTCTGTGTCAAAACAGACAGATAATTCTGCAGACAAGTGGGAATAGTTTGGAGGGAGAGGAACTCCCTGTGTTCTTGATTATTATTTTATTTATTTAATGTGAATTCTTTTTCCTTCCCTTTCTTTTATAATAGGCTCTGTGTGAGCTCTTGGTCAGTTCTTCATGATTTGCTGAAGATCGTACTGCTAAGTAGATCTTCTGAGTTTAAGAATCACTGATGATCCTTAAAAAACAAAGACTGAGAAGAATTCTCCCCAGGGAATGCTTTTTCTGCACATTCAGATCATAGACCTCCACGAATGGCTTCCAGCACAATAAAACATTTTTCCCAGGAGTGCATGAGGCTTTCATGAGCTCAGAAAGACCCTTCTGAAGTGTGTGATTAATGCACCATCCCTGCACAAGGAATTTGATATCCTGTTTCTGACACAGAGACTCAAATGATATTAATCCGTGCAAAAGGCCTCCCATTTGCTGAAGAAGCTGTATTGCTACAGCTGTATTTTTTTTTCCTGTTGGGAATTTACGTCACTGTTTACTCTAATTAGAAAAGGGCAGCCTTAGTCTCTGTGGGCCAGATCTCTTACAGCCATCAACATATCCTGCAGTATTTTTGCCTTCCTCCTTCTCCTCAAGATATACTTTGATTTGTAATCATGTTTCTGTCCATCTACAGGGGAAAACAAAGCAAACAACCCAGATTACGCTGTTCAGCTCAATTTGTCATATTTTTGCTTCTGTTTCACAGTCTGCTCTTTGACAATGTCTCCTGGTGTTTGGAAAGAGAAAAAATGAAAGGCAGATTGAAAAATAGTTTTAAAACAGGGCAACTTGTTCAAAACATGGGAAAAGAAAAAGGAGGCAGTGCTGAAACTTTTTAAGCTGTCTGAAAAAAAACTAACAAACCAGGGAGGATTGCTCCTGGGAGCAGTCTTTGAGAAGGGTCCATCTTTTCTGCGTGTGATTTGGCAGTTTTCTCTCCCATGACAGCATCATGCGACTGATGCAGAGATGCCCAAGCCACACAGATACATTATGTCCTAGGACAAATAATCAACTAGGAGAGGCTTTTAGTAGCGGCATTGTTGTTCTTCCTTTGCCAACTGCTCATGCAAAGGCTTAGAGGTAAGGACAAGGGATGCCCTGTGGAGATTTTGAAGTCCCCATAACTGTATTAATCATGACAGCTGTCAAACAGAAAGGATTTTTTTCCTGGGCCCTTTGCAGGTGGTGCAGCTTTAACAGTGTGAAGGTCTCTTTTCTTGTTGCATTTCTTGAACTATAAATTCTTGTATATATGGGAAATCATAGAATCATAGAATTGTCTAGGTTGAAAGGGACATTTAAGATCATCGAGTCCAAACATTGACCTAGCACTGACATAAACCATCACTAAACCATATCAGTAAGCACTACGTCTTCCCATCTTTTAAATATCTCCAGGAAGGAGGTATTAATTCAGCACACAAAGTACTGGAAGCATGGTGAAGCTCAGGTGGCTTTAAAGTTGGCAGTACTTGTAGGCTCTAAGGAATGTTTTCCAAACATGCACTTAGCTCCAGCTAGAAGTCCACACCTATGACTGAAAGGAGCATTTTTTTAGCCAAAATAAAGTAAGCAGAACAGTACCACAAAGAAGAATAAAAAAGAGACCTCATCTCAGAAATAAAAAAAATCTTGAATTACAATATTTGTACTTTTGTATTTCTTACAGCACAGTCTCCCAATTTTTATTCTGAACTATTTAATATAGTATACATGGACTCAGAAGGTTTTGGGAAATATTGAAGAACTAAAATCCATGACACTTTGGCAGGGACAGCAGGTAGTGGTAGGTGATTTTCAGATTGAATAAAGATAAAGCCATATCCTCTGTCCCCATAACATTATTCATTAGCACTAACCATGCATTTACCATGGATTCATTATTTCCGAATGGTTTCAGAATGGCCAGAAATGCCAGTGGTTATGCCTAGAAATTTATTTTAGTATGTTCTGCAGCCAAGATTTTGCCACCCATCTATGCTTTGTTTTGTGCATATCACTTTATTATCGCAAAGTATCTTTGGTATTTCGTGTATCTGCAAGATGTCTCAAAGCTGCAAAATGCATGTGGCAGAATTTCATGTCAGTTTCACTATTTGCCGTTACATCTTTTTCAGATCCGCTATGCTGGTGCTGCCGACAGTTCAGTTCAGTTTATCTTCTATCAGCCTATCATTCACCGATGGAGGGAAACTGATTTTTTCCCTTGTTCTGCATCCTGTGGAGGAGGTAATGAATTACCATTATATTCCAGAAACCATTATCTGCATGCATAATCTGTCCCAACTTCTGCACTGAGATTTGAACCTTTAAAATGGACGAAATCTGAAAATGAAAGCAGTTACATCTAAATGAAGGGAGGGATGTAGCAACCGTGGTAGTAGCCTGCAGATTTTCTAGCATCATACCATGATCTATACGTAAAGTACATTTTGATATCTATATGACTGTGTTTAATGCTACAGCTGACAGCTACAGCTGTCAACAAAAGGGCTGGTGGGATTTAGGCCCACTTTGGAATTGCAAGATGTCTCCATTTGCTCCTGACCCCACCAGCAACTTTATCCTCTGAACTGAAACTGAGTGCATGAGACTTGGTTTTCAAGAAACCTCAGCCTTTGTTTTTGTTTTTGCCCTAGGCTTCTGAATTTTTATTTGGCCATAATGGTTATCTTTTGTTTCCTACTACATGTGATTTAAGTTGTTGTTTTCAATCAGGTCTGTAAAACAACAGCTGTTATGTCCAAAAGCGCTGACATTTTCAGTTTGCTTTTTACCAAATCAGAGCTTAGATGCTCTTTAGAGAGAGACAGGAAGAACACCACTTCACATATTATTTCCTCCGCTGTGTATTGCAGGGTATCAACTGACATCTGCTGAATGTTTCGATCTGAGAAGCAACCGAGTAGTAGCAGATCAATACTGTCACTATTATCCTGAAAATATCAAGCCAAAGCCAAAACTTCAAGAGTGTAATCTGGATCCTTGTCCTGCAAGGTCAGTCAGCTCTAGTTTTAAAAGTGACTGGACTCTAAAGGAGTAAAATAAAGTAGGAAAATATTCTGTTGCTATTGTTTACGGTGTCATAGCCTACATAATTCAACCTCTTTCTCATCCTGAGGATGTTCTGTGTAGAAAAAGACCTCTGTTTCACACCTTCACATTGCAAAGACTGATTTCAAATGGTTGTTTCTTCCCCTCAGATTGTGTTTTGCCTCATCATATGTTATAATGTGAGAATACAAATTGTCCATGATACCATCCTATGATCAACACATGTCTCTTAAGTATCAGTGAGATAGGAAAAATTCTCTTGAGGTAAAAATGTTGCTGGAAAATGGCTGTCATCACAATTAGAGGCATTATTTTTATGAGATTTTACATTTACTCCTTAATAAAAAGCTTACTGCTGTCATGGCAGCTTTTATGAACGTAACGCAGAAATTTGTTCTAATTATCAATACCCTTTGGCCCCACAGAAAAGTCTCCTCTCTGCTCCCCTGCCAAACATTCTTCCTCAGAAGACTGATAGTAAAAATAGTAAAATCACAGAGTCAGATTTCCTGTGTATAAGAAAAAGAACAAAACCACAAAAAGGACCGGTAATTTTTTGCACTGATTCCTCTGAACTCCAGTGGAAGTCACTCTGCAGCCCCTCATGAGCCACAAGCATTTATTTGTGTATTTATAATCTAAAACTTTTGGTCCTCTTGTGTGGCTTTGTGACAAGATGGTTACGCACAGCTCAGCAGGCATGCATGCAAGGATGTCCTAAAGCCATTTATTTACCTGCTACGTTTCTTCTAGACTAGTTTTGAGCCAAGTTTGATAAAGTGAGTACAAGCAAGTGTCACCTAAAAAGTTGCTCTGGCCTTCTGATTGCTGGAGGTTGCCATAGAAAAAAGATGTCCTAGCCAGGACAAGGATATTTTAGGGACCTATGGGACTATGTATGCACCTGACTGAGGATGGTTGCTTCCCAAGCCAGGTGTACGTGCTTTAAACTAGCTAGGCATTATCAGACCAGAATGAATCACTCCAAGCCCAAGATAGTTTTCACCTCTTCCAGAAAGTTTTCAGTAAAGTTCATTGACTTTTCATAACTGGAGTTAAAACTTAGGTTTCTTCATCACCGAAGACACATTTACCCACAGCATATGGTAGTTTATAATCCTTTGTTCTAGTAAACACATTTTTAACAGTAATTCTGTTTGTAAATTGTTAAAAGCCAGAAATGTTCTCAGACAGTTTTAAATTTGAAGTGAAAATCTCTCAGAATTAAAGAGTGGAAATATCATATCCCGAAATCCAACATTATTTCAGCTGTATTGTACAGTCTTAAAATTGCATACTTTATCATGTATCTCATTAGGATGTATTAAGGATATAATATTAAGAATGCAGCTTCACCAAGGCTTTATGAAAAGTATTTCCTGTTAAGTATGTACTCAGAAGTGATTTTTCAACTTAGAGATTGCTTTCCCACAATGCAGCAAGATCATTTTTTCCTTTAACAACATTTTGTAAAGTTCAGTATCTGGCTTCTCTTTCCACAAAAAATATATATATTTAATTTCTCAGGTTACTTAAATATATTAACAGTTGCAACTAGAAAACTTACTATAATAAAGCTCTTGTATTTTTTCCTCAGTAATTTTCTCAGATCAAAAACTGTTTCTTTGAATTCTCCTTGAATTGTTTAAGACAAATGTCAGTAAAGTAGAGGCTGGGTATGATCAGGTAAGAGACCTAAATATGAGTGTCTCAGAAATAAGCATTGAGGAAAGGTGTGAGTTGATATGGAACCTGTCTTTTACATTCACCTCTCACAGTACCAATGAGAAAGTAATGTAGCTGCTTTTTTTTTTTTTTCTTTTAAACCTAAGCTGCTACTTTTTAAAAATAGAGTTCTGAGTCAAAAATTTACCTCTGGAATTTGTACTATGGATATTTCCCATACTTTTCCAGATAATTTTAAATGCCATATCCTCAAATAGTAAGATAAATGACTGCATGGTACATGGAAGGAAAGAGAGAAAAAAAGTAGCAGTTGGGCAGATGTCAGGAAGCAATTTTTGTTTTATATAAGCCATAACAAGGCAAAGTTGTTGATATAAAGACCCTGAGGGGAGGGAGAGTCATTCAGAAGTACAGCTATGCTGTCCCAGGGTACAGGCAGTAACTGAGAGGAATTGGCTTTTTGGAAACATCCTCATGGAATGCCAAATTGCAAATGATTATTTTCAAAAGTGTCTTTGTAAAGAATTCAAGAATCAACAACCCAGACAGAAAACCAGAGGAAATCTGTGGTAACTTCTGGAATCCTGATGCTTTCTTATGGTCAGGAAGAGGGTAGGTGAAGCAGAACAACAGGGTCAGGAGCGTGAGCAAGGAGGGCGTCTTGGCTCTGCTGTCTCTTTGCTGTGTGGGAGCCACCGGTACAAAACGAAGATGTTAATTTTTCCTGGCAAACCCCATCCCAGCGAGGCATAGCTGATTAGTGGTTGCTGATTGTTCCTATGGCGTGTCAATCGATGCCACAGAAAATAATCGTGGAAGACCACAGTGGCACTGAATAAAGCAACCGAGAGGGGTTACTGTAGGAGAGCTTACATTAAAATTTTCAGCAAACAGCAGGCTGAAAGAAAAGTTTCAATGAATATGAGGAGTATCATGTGGACCTCTTTAGGCTTAGTGCATAGAGACATTTTACTTTCTTGTGCTTATTATAGCAATAATTAACAATATTGCTGGCATCATGGGTAGCAAAAAAAGCTTAGGCTGAACGAACATGGAAAATGAATCAACTTTTTCTGCAAACCCAGTTTCTCACATACTCAGAGGAGAAGCAGTATGCCGAAGGTTACTTATCAAATGTATGTAATTTATACATGTTCCATTTTTTGGTTTAAGTAAAGGTGCCCCATCCACGTAAGTAATACTGGTAATTAGCGTCTTGCAGGACAGGTGACATGTCATGACACAGAATCCCTTTTTGTCCCTACAAACTATCAATGCCCTGTACAGCCTCTCTCATCGACCCTCTTTGGGATTCGGCTCCTTCCTTGGAAAGACAGAAAGAAAATATCTTTTTATTTACATTCCAATAAGATTTTACAACAGTCTGTACTTGACTGGCAAATACACGTACAGTGTTCACTGATGTAAATAGCACCCAGTTCAGCCTAGTTCGGTCCCCTTCTATACAGCAAAATCCAACATTAAGATTTCACATAATTAATTGCAAAACTTTTTACTGTCCAAAACTTTACAGACTGGGGTGTTTAGGCGAGTTTTTTTAGCTATCATCAGTACCCTCCTGCCCTCTAATGTGTCCTCAGTGTCCTCTAATTAAAGGCGAATGGAATTTTTTTCTGCTTTGAGAAAAAGTCTGTTTAGATTGGTCTGCTAAACACTTGCCTAAGACAACTCTGAGGTGCTATAAGCTGAAGATACACTTTCTTTCATAATTCAAAGGGATTCCTCCAAAAAGCATTTTTTACAAATATGAAAAAGGCTTTTACCCCACTCATCATTCACCTTCTCACCAAGATACTCTCTGGAGCAACATCAGCGCTGCTTCTAGATAGCATCTTCAGTTTTTAAGTGGTATTCCCAGCTGCACTGCTCTGCATTTTTAGCAATCATTTCCCCTATATTTCCTTATTTCTGCTAGGTGTTAATGTGAGGTCTTCTGAGCCACAAAATCTCTATTGGTGCTTTTACCAGGAGATTTCAATGGTGTGTAAAGATTTCTAAAGGCATCTTCATCAAAGATTCTAATTTCTGTAGCAACTGTCTCAAAAATTTCATATTAGCAAACCTCTAACATGTGGGCTTCCTCTTAGCACATTGCCAGTAATGCCAGTCTGATTTGCACCAGCAGAAATCCTGAAATTTGCTAGAGCACTATTGCTAAGCCTACCACTAGATATAATGTTGGAACTGTGGAAAGTTTTGGGGAAAATCTCTAGTTCAAGCAAGAGTTTCAAGACTCAGAGACCTGAAGGAATTCTTAGTTATCCACAGTTTATGGGGTCCTCCAGCAAAATTCGAACTCCTCTGCTTACATATCAAAGTTTCTCTTTTGGCACTCACTTAACTATCCATACTGGGTGGTGGTGGAGGTAGGCATCAGCAAAAAGAAACTTATTTTTAGTTGTTAATTTCTAGCGACCCTACAAAGAGTAATGAACTACAAGTAAAGGCACACAAAAGACTACTACAATATTATGGCAATTCAGAATAACCCTGAGTAGTGAGAACTCCTCAGTATACTTTGTGATGTGGAAGAGTATGCAATTTCCTGGGAAACATCGCAAGATACATGGTGATAACTTTTATATATGTGTTTTAAAAGAAAAGAAGTTAGTAATGAGTAAATATGCATGATTAAACGGGCAATATAAACATATGGTATCCTCAATCAATAACAGAGGTTTCCTCATTTCATTACAAATTTGGTAGCTGAGGCAGAAAATTGCCAAACGCACAATTTTTTGCCGGTTATCACCTTCCCTAAAGGTATTATATTAGTTGGCAATTATAAGCCAAGTATCACAGCAGTGCAGTCTTCCTATTTTCACCACATTCTTTCTGGAAGATGAAAATAACTGTAGTGCTGGTATGTTCCTGAAAAGACGAGCTGCACTTTCTGATTTACACAGTAGCAGCCATAGATCTGCAGTGATGAGAGGGGGCTGAGACACAATGACTCATTTATTATTATTGCCCTCAACTGGGACATATGGTAGATTTAAACTTTGTTTTGAATAGTCTTTCACATAAAATATCCCATAGTTACCGCAGATACTGGGCTTTTTGACAGCACCCCCAGCTTTTTGCATGGATGTGGGACACTGGTCATGACAATGCCCTTTCCTGATCGCTGCCTCAGGCAAGTGGTAATTTCTGTGGATTTGCATTTTTACTTAAGTTCTTAATTTGTTACAGGGGGGTTGAGAAAGCCTTTCTGCCTTGCAGTGCTCTCTGAACCT